CTTGAAGTGGCCAAGTTTGAAAAACACTGATTTATCTGGTGCTGTTTCCTGCTTTTCTGGGCCTGGGGGGTTGGAAGGATGTGTTCTAGCCTGTTTGTTACCTTCCTAGGCTTTGGACTGTAACTTTTCAATGCTATGTAAATAGGGCTGATCTCTGTGTGTCTACTGATGGCTGGTTTGTCTGAATGCCAGCTTCCAGGAATCCCTAGTGCCCTAATCCAATACTCTTGCTAACACAAAGCCAGAAGCCAACATGGGCTGATTTTACCCGTGGCTGCCATCGCTGAAAGGCAATGGAGGACTGACCCATTCATTCATGGATGTTTTTCTCCAATGGTCTGACCATAACATAAGATTGGTTCTAAGGCAAGGGTAGGCAATAGGTACCCTGTGTTCCAGATATGCCCCTTGGTGCCCAATAGGCTCCTTCCCCTGTCTTTTCATTGAGGAATGAAATAGGAAGCTGCCCCCATTGCAATGAAAAGAGGTCCCTCTAAGCACATTTCTTTACAGCATTAACTTTAAGCCCATAAAAATCTCCCTGGGAAGGTTCAGAATGAAGTTGGGGATGAGGTTACCTTCTGATAAATGGAAGTTTACCATCCCCATCCCCATAGTTCTTCTGCAAATAGGCAAATCTCTCATTTGGTGTGCACCACACCCTTCGTGCTCTCAAACTTCCAAAAAGGCCATTGGCCTACAAGGATTTGGCTACTTACAAGCTCGTGATCTTTGTTTCCTCATCTTGAGAGTTAAGAATGGTAAAGGCCATGATTCCAATCAGTTTACACTCGCCTAAGTCTGGTTTGGATTATGGCCATTATCCTGAGCAAGGGGATCACACACACACACACACACACACACACACACACACAAACACACACACTTGACATTTGTTTGTTTTTCTTAGGCTTTGCTCCTAACATTTCAAAATATCCACCCTTTGGTCTAAATTACACTGTTATAACAATCAGTTACGCTGGACTGAAAACCTGACAGCTCAGTTTCATAATGCAGATATCAGAAACAAGGCAGCAGTGGGTTTAGCTCCTTGGTATGAACTTTCGGTCCCCTTCTTTTCCCAGAAGCAACTCTGTTTTGAATGTCAGTTGCCCTCTGAGTCTGAAGGGGAGAACATTCTTTGCCATCACCACCCAGAAGACAGAGGGCTAACGTTCAATATATCCCCATTTTATTCTAAGAAGGCTCACCACCGAAGTAAGATTAACCTAGCTCCATCTTGAAATGTATTGTTTTTCCAACTCTTGTATCAGGAGACCGCAAGGAAAACATGGTCTGCTGAATCATTAACTAGTCTACACCTTCATTGGCTAATGAGTAGTTGATATTAAGATCTATCAGGAGAAGATCAGAAGAACCCTGCTGGACCAGGACAAGACATCTTTGTTGCAGCATTCTGTATTACACCATGGACAACCAAATCCAGCCAGGAAGTTCATAAGTGAGGACAGAACAATACTGCCCCTCTTCCATGAGCTGGGATGCTGCTAGTGCTAAAGTATTAAACAGTCATCAGGACTAGCACCTGTTGATAGCCTCATTCTCTATGCATCTGTCTAGTCCCCTTTGAAAGCCATCCCAATGGGTGGACTACGTCAGACATCAGCACATCCTATAAATGTAACTATGAGTTACATAAATATTTATTTTCATCAGTAGCAAAATCTCCCCACATTAAGTTTCAGTGAATGAGCCATGCTCTAACATTACAAGAGAGAGAGAGAAGATCCTTCCTTCCTTCCTTCCTTCCTTCCTTCCTTCCTTCCTTCCTTCCTTCCTTCC